CCCCAGGCTGAGTGTAACACTCACACCCATAATCGCAGCTGTACTCAGACCCATAATCCCGGCCTTGGATCATGAATTAATCACAAAATGTAAACTTCACTTCAGTGATTGCATGAGGCTTTGGGGAGACAAATACACACAAACCCTAACAGGTGTCTATGAAAAAAAAACCATATACTGTAACATCCTGTAACTTAATTGTGTCCCAAATGTACTGATCAAGGAGATTATGAGACCACAGAGGAAAGTGATCGATGATGTAGAATGTGTCTAAGGAGAGTCACATGGAGAGAAAACATTCTCTCAGGCTTTCACAGAGAGCAAATTGGTCAAGCAATGGCCATGACTCATCCACATGGCTGACACTGACAAAGGATCTGCAAACTGCGGTACAAGGTTTCAGGGTAAATCCTGAGGGGCTTTGACTGACCTTGGCAGATACAAAAGTTACATTTCTTGTTATATAGATATTGTTTTATCTTGGTCTTAACCATCCAGCAGAAAAGTATAAAAAATAGGTATAAAAAGTAAAGAGCCATATTAATATGCTGAGCTGTAAAAGGTTCAAGTCATCAACTTCTGACATTGCCAGTCCTACTGAAAACCCACTACTATTATGGACTATTAGACTATATTGGATTATTTTGCTGAATTCACACCCTACAATATTTAAATGGCAATGGAACACCCATCTCTGACAAAACTAAACCAAAAAAAGGGGATACAAATGAAGGACCATTTTGTATCTGTATATACAAAATAGTTAGGATAGATATACAGCTACTTTCTCTTAATTCAATGAGAAGAAAGATTTGTACTAATAGTGTTTGGTCAGGATATCAGGTCTGCATCTTGTACTATGAATAACCACTACAAAGACAACAATACACAATGTATTAGTTAGTGAAACTGTCCTACTAATTGGTTTTGAAACTGTGTCATTGCTATTTGTTTCTCAATAAAATTAATTTTTAAAAAGTAAAAAAAAACATATGGTACTTATCTCTGTGTGGGTTAATAATAACAAGATATGTGTTCCTTTCATTTTCCTACAAGTGACATGATTTTACTGTAAAAAGAGTAAAATCCTTCTTACATTTGGGAGGCATTTACTTGATTGTTAGTGAGGCTTAATGTCTTTCATATGTACATTGATCTTTTTCTTTTGTGTATTGCCTATGTATAACTTAAACCCCAATGTTTAGTGGGCTGCTTTCTCACTTTCTGTAGATTTAGAAGCTTTTGTCTACATTGTGGTTGTTTAAAGTATATATTTAGTGTGTTTTGTATTGAGTAATTTCTATAATAACTTTATTTGAAATATTTTCTTTGGGGTCAAATTATACCATTCACACTAGACTTCTGAAGGGTTTTTTGCCTCTAAATTTTGAACACAGTCAACAACTATTTTTTACTAATTTTAATTTTCAATCCTAAGTATTTAATTCAGCATTGATTTTTGATAGAAGTAAAAATTGATTATTAAATTTAATTTTCTCTCAAAGTGAGCCAATTATCCATCATCATTTGAACAATCTAACTTATATTTGTATATTTATTTTATTAATTTTATTATAAAAAATAGCAATTAGACAGTTTCAAAACAGGTTAGTAGGACAGTTGCAATAATTAATACATTGCATATTGTTGTCTTCATAGTAGTTATTCATAGTACAAGATGCAGACATGGTATCTTGTCTAAACACTATTAGTACAAATCTCATTGAACTAAACAGTATCAAACTAAATTATTATCACTTAAAAATCAATATCTGCCTAAATTGTTTGATAATAACAATAAGCTTGTCTTCTGGATGGTTAACAACCTAAGTTTGCAGACCAAAATTAGAGAAAAAGGAGGGCTACAAGGAAAACCAACATTTTGGCCCTAGCCTTCTAAGGTCAATTAAGACTCAGGACATATGAGAACTTGTACTGTAACGTCATGTTCCTCGGTAGTGTCCCAAATTTTCTGATCAAGAAGATTATGGGGCCAAAGAGGAAAGTGATCGATGATGTAGAGTGTGCCTAAGGAGAGTCACATGGGGAGAAGACACTCTCTCAGGCTTTCACAGAGAGCACATTGGCCAAGCATTGGCCGTGACTCATCCACATGGCTGACACTGACAAAGGTTCTACAATCTGAGGTACAGGATCTCAGGATAAATCCTGAGGGCATTTCACTGACCTTCTCAGACCAAAAAGCTACAACTCTTGTTGCATAGGTCCTGCTTTACCTTGGTCTTAACCATCCAGTAGAAAAGTATGAAGAAGAAATATAAGAAATAAAGCCATGCTGTTAAGTTGAGCTGTGGGGGACCCAGGTCAACAATTTCTGACATTGCCAGTTAAACAGAAGACCCAATGCTATTATGGGCTACTGGACTCTTTTAGAATATTTTGCTGAGTTAACACACCTATAATATTCAATAACGGAACTTTAAAAAAATGGGATATAACTATGAATGTCCATTTTTTATCTGTGTATTCAAAGCGGTTGGGATAGATATATAGTTGCATTCTCTTAATAAATAGAATGATTTTTTCTAATGGTGTTTGTAAGTAGGATCACAAGTCTGCATCTTGTACAGCAATTAACCGCTAAGAAGAATATATGCAGTGTATTATTTGTTGAAACTGTACTCTCGATTTGATTTGAAACTGTCTCATTGGTATATATTTATCAATAAAACTTTGAAAAGAAAAACAATACACTTAAAAAAAATAAAATAATAAAAATAAAAATCAATATCTGATTAAACTATGTTCATTTCCCACAAAAAAATCAATATCTGAATGACAAACATACATTTTTAGTATGTTTATACATTTTTGGTTTGTGTCTTACATATTTTTCTTACCTATACCATTTAGAATAAATTTGTCAAATTACAAAGAAAAATTCTATTGAATTTTTGTGCATCTATTTTGAGATAATGCATATATTTTGAGATTAAGTTAGGGAGAATGCAACTTAAAAATTAAAACATAGCTCATCAGCTAACATATGATTTTGTATATATTTTGGTGGTGACACATATATATATTTACTTATTTTTCCAATAATATATTTATACTTAGAATATATCTGTTCTTCAGTAGAACTTTATGACTTTCTCTGAGAATTCCACATTTCAAAAACTATATTTTAAGAGTTTCATACCTATTTTAGATACAATATTTTTTCTTTTTTTTAGGTGGACAGATATCTGGTTTATTTCACCACTAGAATTCTTTTTCCTTAATTTTATCTTAGATACAGTATTTTTTCACTTGCACCAACTGATAATTCCACTAAACTTTCCTTGTGACTAGAGGTTTCAGTTTTTTTCTGTATTTTTTCCCCTTTGATATCTATGTGGGGTTTTTTTCTTGAAAGTTACACAGGTCCATTCAAGCTAGATTGGGCAGAAAAAAAAGAGAGAGAAAAAGAGAGAACTTGAGATTGAAGAAACTCCTTTTGGCTGTCCAGGGCACACTGAATTGAATCAGGGATTAAAAAATCAAGAATGGCCAAGAATGCGCTGTGCATCTCTGGGGTGCTCTGGTCTCCACTATACTTCTTGCTCCAGAATACCTGTCTCCAGATGGGAAGGTTTCACGACTTCAGTTGATGTTCAGCTTCAGCATGTGCACTGTGCTCATAGCTTCCCACATCGCCCTTTGGTTTCCAGTGTTGAGTCTGTTCCTTTCAGAGTGGATGACAACTTCGTATCCCTCAAAAGTAGACATCTGAGAAACCTCAGCATGACAGAACAGGTGAGGAAACTAAGAGATGCTTTATATCAATGGAAATCGAAGTGTCCCAATTTTTCCTCCTTATTTCTCATGATTCATATGTGGTGAAAACATAATTCCATCATGGGCCTTGGCATCTGGAGATACTTTGAGTCACATGCTATTGTACCTTGGAATGGGGACTGTGATATCCATTTCTTTTGTGGAATCTGGCTGGCAATTCCATGTGTAAGAGCCTCTCCGGGAGCACGTTCTTCAGGAAAGTCACTTAGAATCATCAAGTCCATTATTATCTTCACTCTGGTGATTGCAGTCTTTGCTATGATTTAGCTGGGATCTTGCAAATCTCATTTCAGAAATATATCCCTAAGGTCTTGTTTCACTGGTACATGGAGATGATGCCTTTGGGAGTGGCTGGGTCATGAGGGCTTTGAATGAATGCATAGCTTCCTGTCTTGGTGAGTTTGTGGGAGAAAGGATGGGTGAGGCTGATGTTCTGTTGAAAGGAGTTCTTTGTGACAGGTCTGCTCTGACTCACCTTGGGATGCCCCACGCCACACAAAGATCCCAAGGGAGGCTCACCCAGATGCTGAACACCTCCTGGCTCAGGGGCTGGGGCCGATTAACCTTGGCTCTATTGTTACCAGTCTTGTGGCCTTAAGTGCAGCCAAAGAAATAGACTAAAACCTTCAGTGATGCATAGGTAGGTAAAGAAAAGGATTATGGAAACAGAAATAGGTGAAAGGGCTCCCTAAAAAGGAAGAACTATTCCAATGCAGTGCAAATAATACAAATATGGTTGATTACCTTGGGCATCTCTCTGATTAAGAGATATCTGGGATGAATGAGGTGGATGCCTGAACTGAATATCAGAAAGACCATGAATCCCAAAATTTACTGCATTCTGCATGATTATGGGAAAATTAGATGTCTCTGATAATTTATTTTGCATTTAATTTTTATTTTATTTTATTTTATCTTGCATACCAGTGATCAAACTCAGGACCTTGCACTTGCTGGATAAGCACTTATGCCACTGAGCTATCTTTCTGGCCTTTTATTTTGCATTTAAAAATTAAAAATAATAAATTTAAGGTGTTAGAGTGGTAATATTTAATGTTGAATGAGAACATATGACCTACTGCATGATTGAGTGATGTTTTTACCTTCTCTACAGTGCTCTAAGTGAAGTGAATGTTATTGGAGCCTTTATTTCATTGTACCATCTCAATACCCAGCATCCAGCACCCTGGACTGAGCCCATGGCCAGCACAACTAACGTGACCAAGTTCATCATCACTGGGCTCTTCCAGGACGCACAAGTGCAGAGAGCGTGCTTCGTGCTCTTCCTTCCCGTGTACCTAGCCACACTGGCAGGCAATGGCCTCATCGTCCTAACGGTCAGTGTCAGTGACAGCCTACGTTCCCCCATGTACTTCTTCCTAGGCTACCTGTCCCTGGTGGAGATCTGCTACTCCTCCACTGTGGTCCCAAAATTCATCATGGATCTACTCATCAAGATGAAAACCATCTCCTTCAAGGGCTGTCTGACTCAGATCTTCTTCTTCCATTTATTTGGGGTAACTGAGATCCTCCTGCTAGTGGTGATGGCCTATGACCGCTATGTGGCCATCTGCAGGCCGCTTCACTATATGACCATTATGAGTCACCAACTGTGTCACATGCTGGTAGCTGGCTGCTGGACAGGGGGCTTTTTACACTCCTTAATTCAGATGCTGGTCACCATCCCTTTGCCCTTTTGTGGTCCCAATGTGATTGACCACTACTTCTGTGACCTCCAGCCATTGTTCAAGCTAGCCTGCACTGACACCTATGTGGAAGGTGTCACTGTATTGGCCAACAGTGGATTAATCTCTGTTCTCTCCCTCACCATCTTGCTGTGCTCTTACATCATCATCTTGGTCAGCTTGAGGAACCATTCTGCAGAGGGCAGGCGCAAAGCCCTGTCCACCTGTGCCTCTCACATCACCGTGGTCGTCTTGTTTTTTGGACCAGCCATCTTCCTCTACATGCGCCCCTCCTCCACCTTCACAGGGGACAAGCTGGTGGCTGTGTTCTATACGGTCATCACCCCCATGTTGAACCCCATCATCTACACACTCAGAAATGAAGAGGTGAAAATCGCCATGAGGAAGTTGTGGAGGAAAAAGAATTCAGGGATGGAGTGAAAGAAGAGTGAGATCTGGTAAAGTAGCCTGTTGCTGAAATGACTCATGTTTCTTCAAGATACGCAAGAATGCATACAACCAATGGAGTGACCCTGTTTCACTATTGCTGTCATTGTCTTTAGTCACCACCTGCAGAATACCATTTCCTGGGCAGAGTTCAGACGTTCTACTCCATCTCATAGAACCTGATTGACCCCATGAAATCCATCAGTATGATGAGTTGGATAAATCAAGGACAAAGACAAAACACAATTTAAAACCATGTGTTTTCATTTTTTTATTGACAAACAATAATTGTAAGCACTTATGAAAGACAATACAATATTTCAATGCATTTGCATAATTTGTGATGATCAGATTGGGTAATCAGTATATCCTCCACCTGAAGTTTGTGGAGGATATACTGATTAAGCAGCTCTTTGTGAAAATTCAATGTCATTTTGTACTTACTTATGTGAAATATTTAAATATTTGTAGTCACTCATAGTTGTCCTGCTGTGGTATATTACACTAGTAACTAATCATCTTATCCAACAACATCCATTAGAAATAATAATATGTTGAAAAATGTTTTATGGCTTGAATTTGCTTTTTCTATTGTTATCCTATTTATTTAACCTCCCTAAAGATATAAATTTACATGTCATTAAATCGTGGCAGCAATAATGGTAAACATCAGGGAACACACAATGGGAATCATCAGGTGATTGGTTTTCTTTTGTCTTCTAATATGGGAAAGTGTATCCTTGTATTTCAAACCCTGGGACTTGTCTAGTATTCTCTGTTGTCCTTATAATTTTATATAATAGATTACCTGAACATGGTCACTAGAAAACTCCTGTAGCAGTTTCAGTTTTTGTGACATGTTGGCACATAAGTTAGACATTGACAAGAAATGTAGTCATTACTTACTGTAATAATGAACTAATAAAAAGCTTAAAAATTAGAGTTTTGCTTTCTCCTAATGTCCAACATTATTGAACAATGATACAATATTACTATAATATCAAAATTACTAGGATTGGCTGGCCAAGTATCTCAGCAGATTAAAGCACCTGCAAGCAGACACAGGGGCCAGGGATTCAATCGCCAGGCCTGCTGTGCTGGCCCCGCCCCTGGGGCACACAGAGACAGCAACTGAGACTGGGCATGGCAGCACGTGCCTGTAATCCCAGCTCTTAGAAGGCTGTAAACAGGTGGATCACTATGAATCCAGACTAGTAGAGAGACCCTAAACACCCTGTAGACCCTTCCCTAAAATATAAAAAAAAATTACCTGGAATGTAACTATCAATAGATAGGTTGAAGTCAAAATGTTCAGTAAACAGAAAATTTCAGCCCTGCCCAGACTTAGGAACAGAGTGCTTGGAGACACCTCCTGTCATTACTTGAAGATTGGAGGTGTCACTGCCCTGTGTGTTTCCACCCCAGACCTCTGTGCCTCATGGTGAGGCCAAGTCCACTTGTGTGACTGTCTGTCACTATCCCTACGTGAGTGGATATGACACAACCCATGCCTGTGTTGTTCACCTCAGAATCTCCAGTTCACCCTACTGTCCTATGTCACTGTGCATGCTTCAGAGAATGCCACAGAACTTTCCCTTGATGGCTTTGAGGTTACACAGAGCTGCATTGAACTTGCATCACAACAATGGAAATTTTTTGAGGAACAGTTCAAATGATGCAGGCAACTTCTCAAGTAGACGTGGAGCATCCCTGGGGTGATGCGACCTCAGGGATTTTTCCCTTTCTCCTGGCATTTTGGTTGAACTTGCAGGTGAAACATAGTTTTTAGGGCACCATGAGTGTCCTTCAGTTTCTTTGCTTCTCTAGTAGTTATGTGCATGGAAGATTGTAGCTAATCCCTAAGAAAAGGTTGTTTTCTGTGCCTGGAATGATATTGACTCTCTCTTTATGGAAGACCCTAAAACTCAACCATGGACTCCAAGTATTAATAAATAAATTCAGTAACATATCAGGATATCAGATATCAATAGCATTCCTGAATACAAATAAGAAATTCATTGAAAGGGAGATTAGGGAAAACACGTCTTTCACAGTAGCATCCAAAATAAAATGAAATATTTAGAAATCAGACTAATAAAGGAAGTGGAACACCTTTATACTGAAAACTTCACTACTTTAAAAAAGAGGAATGAAGAGGATATCAGAAAATGGAAAGATATCCCTTGTTCTTGGATATGCAGAACCAATATACTGAAAATGGCCATACTTCCAAACCTGTTGTACAGATTTAATGCAATCCTGGTCAAAATGCCAGTACCATCCCTCACAGAGCTGTAGAAAACAATCCTAAAATTAATCAAACCAGAAGAGATCTAGAGTAGCAAAAGCCATTCAACAAAGGAGAGGGAGGAGGCTTCACAATCCCTAATATTAAATTATAGTATAAAACTACAATGAAAAAACAGTATGGCAGGGCCAGGGAGATGGCTCAGTGGAATAAGCACTTCTGTGGCAAGTGCAAGGGCCTGAGATCAATCCCCGGTTCTGAAAAAAAAAAAAAAAAAACAGTATGGTACTGTCAAAAGGCAAATTAACAAAAAACTCAACAAGCAAAAAACAAAAAAAAGTCAGTCCCAAGGATCAATGGAACAAATCAGAAGGTGCAGAAACAACTACAAACACACTTAAGCACTTTATCATTGACAAAGGAGCTAGACGCCCTTCAGTGGAAGAAAGATAGCCTCTTTAATAAATGGTTATGAGAAAGTTGGCTTTCCACATGCCAAAGATCAAAGTTCAAAGCCACATATCACTCACCATGCACTACTAAAATTGAAATGGATCAAACATCTGACTATTAAAATACTAAATCTTCCAGTAGATAAAATTTAGGAATACATAGGTGTAGGAAAGATTTCATTAACAAAACCCTGATGGAACAGGAAGTACTACAAAGAATAAACTAGGATGTCCTCATTAAAAATATTTTGAATAACAAAAGAAATCTCCAACAGAGTGAAAAGACAACCCATAGGATGGAAAAAAACTTAGCCAGTTGCTCCTTGAACAAAGGAGTAACATCTAGAACATATAACAAACAGTAAAAAAACAGATTCTAAATTTAAAGTCCTAATCAAAATAAAAGCATCTGTTATAGTTTGTGTCTAGTTGTCCCCTGAAGCCTCATGCAGTCATTGGTTCAGGCTTCTAGAATTTGTGATTAATTCATGATCCAATGTTGGAATTATGGGTATGAATGATAAAACTGCACTGGGGCAGATAGCCTGAATACAATGTAAGGGAAGAAGAGAGGCTTCCTAGCTGCCACTGCCACTGCTCCTCCTCTTGATCTTTGCTGTTTTCCACCTCCATGAACAGCTGTCTTCTTCCATGTGCCACTGTGCCTTGAAGCCAGCCAAGTAGGGACTGAAACCTCCACTAACTGTGAGCTGAATCAATCTTTCCTTCCTTAATTTAGGGTGTTGGATATTTTGTCCCAACAATGAGAGAAAAGTAACCAGAACAGGCATCTTAAATGAATACACACATCTCAGAAGAAAAATTACAAATGGCAAATAAATATATGAAAAAAAAATGTCCCACATCACTGATCATTCAAAAGATGGAAATTCACACAGTGATGAGATTCCATCTCATACTAGAAAGAATAGCTATGATAAAAAAAATCAGCCAATAACAAGTTTGGCAGAGCTGTAGGAGAAAAGGAACCCTTCTCCACTGTTAGTGCAAGTGTAGACTGGTACGTCCACTGTGGAAATCAATGTGGAGATTCCTCAAAAAATAGGACTAGAGGTTCAGCTTGACCCAGCTATCCTCCTGCTTGGTATCTTTCTGAAAGAATGAAAAGCATCTTATCACATCTACATATGCACACTCAAGTTCATAGTGGCACAGTTTGTGACAACTAAGCTTTGGAAGCGCCCAAATACCAGTCAACTGATGAATGGATAAAGAAGATGTGAATTTTTTTCTACAGTGGAATACTAATTACTGCTTTGTGGCCTTTTGGCTAAGATCAAGTATGGGGTACTACTCTGCAATAAAGAAACATTAAGTTTGAAACATTTTTAGATAAAAGGATGAAACTTGAGACTACACTCTTAAGTGAAATAAATCAGACACACATATAAATACAGCATTGTTTTTCTGATATGAGAAACTGAAAGTGTAAACAAGAACCAAAATGTATAGGAGATAATGCAAAATAGGGAAGGGGAGGCTGGGGATACAGCTCAGGGGCACAGCACTTGCCTGGCAAGCATGAGATCCTGAGTTCAATTCCTGTACAAAAATAAAACCCAAATGGGAGGGGGCCTAGACAGGGGGGAAGGAATAGGAAAAAAGAGGACAGGAGAAGAGACAAGAGGAGAGGAGAGGAAAGGAGA